TCAGACCTCTACATTGGAGAGACCAAACAGCCACTTCACAAGCGCATGGCACAACTCTGTTGCTTGTGAAGCTCGCACACAAGAATTTCACTCACATGTGCTGTACCAATGTACCTGCACATGTGATGTGACAATAAAAGTAATTTGATTTGATTTGAGAAGAGCCACCTCCACAGGACAAGACTCAGCAGTCCATCTGCATCTAAAGGATAAAGGTCACTCTTTCGAGGATGCCAATGTTCACATTTTGGACAGAGAGGACAGATGGTTTGAAAGAGGAGTGAAAGAAGCCACCTATGTCCACTGTGAGCGACCATCTTTGAACAGAGGCGGAGGTTTACGACACCAACTCTCTGCCATCTATAATCCAGTTTTGAGATCTCTTCCCAGACGCCTTAACGCCCACTCACATCCTGGGCCATCTGACCTCAGGAATTCGCATGATAAGGTGGGGCCAGGTTTCACAATGAACTCACCCGAAACTCTGGCTGATTGGGACCCACACCCAGTTTCACACCTTGGCTCAGGCGATTAGAGGATCATCAGGGGGCCCTTTTGTCCCTCTGTGGGAGGAAACTCCCACTAGGTTTATAGGGCTTTGGAGCGTGATGTCACGGGGGTGGGCGTGGAAAGGATTTTGGCCCGATCCGCCATTTTGGGGTTCTAAGTAAGGAGCAAAAGCATAGCCATGGTTCGTACTTGCTGTGTGCTCGGCTGCAATGTTCGATCTTACGACCGGCACGGGAATAAGTTTGGATTGTCTTTTTATGCTTTCCCAACCTGGAAGCAACATGAAGGAGCTCATGTATCGGATATTACCAAACGAAGGCGTCTAGCCTGGATAGCAGCCGTGAGACGAGCTGATATCAAGTTCTGTTACGTCTCCAGATATCAGCTGGTGTGCTCAAGACATTTTCATTCCGGTAAGTTCTAAATATGTTCTTATCACACTTTATAGCTGAATAATATTATCGTTGGTGGTCTCGGAAGTTAAAGAGATTGCGATCAAACATCAAATGGAGTGACTTTGCAGACATATGTGCTATGTAAAGATTCGCAGGAGGAGACAGGGAGGACACAAATTGGCGTTAATAATTTGCCCGATTATCAATGTGTTAATTTGCATCTACTTTACAATTATGGGCATATAATATGATAACGATATTTTAGCAGTTTACTGATAAATGTATAACATTAATTATGGTGGGGGTGGAAAATGGCTATTTCACTCGATGCACTCCAGCTGACTTACTTTGACGACGTACTCAAGAGTTTGGCGGCTTGAAAATAGCCAAATCTTGCACCCAGCCATTTGTAAATTGGATGTGCGCCTCCAGTGACTTGTAATTACGAAACTGGTTCGCAGTGTAAGCGCTTACTCCACAAACAAGATAGGTGAAGATATCGGGGTAGGACAGTGGCGGTAAGTCGTCTGGGTCTTTACTCCACTGCTGTATGTCGTATGGGTCCAGATTTGCGATGCACTCTATTTTTTTTCAAATACCGCTGCTTCGCCTCTGGACGCAATCGGTCTGTATACTGTCCGTTTTCTTTTGAGCTGCTTATAAACATGTTTCTTGTCGTCGTCGCCGTTCCAACAGTGAGTTTGTTTGGATCGTAGACCCCGAAAATGGCGCCGCGCTCCCACAATGCATTGCGGCGTGACGTCAACTCCAAAGCCCTATATCGGGGACCCTCCACCATTTGACCCCAGAACTGAAGAAGCTTCTCGGATGAGAGGTGAAACGTCTTCAAGCAACTTAAAGAAGTCCAGACGCTTTTCTTTGCAAGCTCCTTTGACTACGGTGACCTGGATGACTGAGAACCTTCACAGACATATTTTATGGCTGTTCTGGAAAAATATACTTCAATAAATACATAAAAATGAGACCAGATTAAATCAAAATACTCTGTGAGGAGGAGTAAAAATGACTCCTTCATACTGTTTATTATTGCTGAGGAGGTTTCAGTGTAATTCTGCATATTGTCCATTTTTCCAAAGTCATATTTCCTGAATAATTGTCAGTTAGTTGTTAAATGTGTTTGTCATGAGTGACTTTGAGCACTTTTCTCCTCAGAGAAACACTCTGTGGATGAACGACGCTCTGCACTGATCCACAAAGTGAGTCATGTCACATCTCTGATTCAGTACAAGACAGCAGGCTGAAAGTCAGAGGACTAAAGTATCATCAGTTCTCATGTTGACTCATTTTCTCATGATTTCTGCTGGATGTTTGTGACAAACTGAAGTTTCATTCAGTTTGACTTCTTCAGCAGTAATTTTCTGCAACACTAATGTCAGGATGTCTTTACCACTGAGGATGAGCTGAGGAAGTGTCAGCATGTACATTTGTCCTGACTCTTCAACAGGACAGAGAAATCTGAAAACATCAAACACTTTCAGCTTAAACAGGAAACTTTATTCTACTTACAAATATTAATAAAGAATGAAAGATGATGTGAAATCAGGGAAAGATTCTTGATGGATATATTTCAGTTTTTATCTGCACAGTGAGAGAAGAACTGCAGCCTGTAAAGAAAAAGTATTCAAACCCATAAAAGTGGATCACAGTTTTATATTTTCTTCATTTTTTTCATAAACGTACCACAACTAGTAAATAGATGCTTGTGTTTGGCTAAATAAATATGTGACCCCGTGATTGTGTTTATTGTTCCAGATGGCAACAATGGCAGCTGTTAAACATCTGCTTTTAGAAACTTTGAATGATTTGAGTGATGAGGAGCTCGAGACATTTAAGAGGATCCTGCAGACGATCCTTCCTTGGAGGAATCTGTCATTCTTCTCGTGGAGGTTGAGTCCATCATCAACCAGAGCAGATGTAGTGAATCTGATGGTGGATGAACTTGGTCATCAGTCTGTGGAGGTGACCAGAGAAGTTTTCATGCACATGAACAGAACTGATCTGGTGCAGAAGTTACCAGAGAGCAGCTCAGCATCCAGAGGTAAGACCAACATGCATGAGTGTAAACTCTGTGTCATCAACAGGTTTTTGTGTTGGTGGTGTCATGGTGGTGCAGTGGTTAGCACTGTGTCCTCACAGCATGAAGGTTGTGTGTTTGAGCCTCCTGGTTGGCTGGAACCTTTCTGTGTGGAGTTTGCATGTTCTCCCTGTGCCTGCATGCTTTTCCTCAGAGTGCTCTGGTTTCCAGTCCAAACACATGCTTGTTGGCTTTATTGCTGGTTCTAAATTAAATGTGGGTGTGAAAGGTTGTCTGTCTGTTTAAAACCTGAGGTGGACAGGTGTACCCTCTCTCATTATCACAGCTGGGAACCCCCAGTTACTTTGGTTGGACAGGATGGAGGGTTTCTTTGTTGGGTTCTTATGTCATTTTATTTAGTTTCACATGATTTTCTCTTTTAAATCATCTGTGTCGTCTGAAGGCTGATTCTACTTGGATGTGTGATGATGTTTGAATCCTCAGAGTTGATGGTAAATGTCTTTCCTCCTCAGAGAAACACTCTGTGGATGAACATGGAGCTGCACTGTTGAAGAGAGTGAGTGTGACTTTAACTCAGCTTTTACAAAAAATAGTTTTTAGTATTGATAGAAATGAAATAATGTTTTCTTATGAAACTTGAAGTTTTGCAGTTCATAAAGAGAGTGAAGTAAATATCAAAACCGCCAGCTGTCTCTTCAGTGATTATTCTAAAAAATATAAATATTCATGAAGACATCTTTTTTTAATGAATATTTGATATTTCTACTACAGTTTCTCTGGAAATTAAATAAAAATAAATCTTTAAATCGTCCAACAGATATTTTACAGTAACTTAATACATTGTTTTGGTTTTACAGGAAAAAGAACAGGAAGCTGTCAGACAGATTCTCTTGGAAACACTGAATGAATTTAGTCAAACAGATCTAAAGAAATTCAAGCAGTTGCTGCCGTTCACGTGCTTTAAGATGAGCCTGCCACAAATGGAGAGTTACCGGTGTCAAAACAGAACAGAAGACCTTGTGAATCTGATGGTGGATAAACTTGGTCATCAGTCTGTGGAGGTGACCATGGAGGTTTCAACAGACATGAACAGACCTGATCTGATGCTGAGGCTGTCAGAGAGCAGCTCAGGTGAGACCAAACAAATGTTTAATAAACAGATTTTCATAATTTACAATAAACTTGTTTAAACAACTTCTAATCAACAAACATTAAAATAAACAGGAAACACAACAGATGTCCAAAAATAACTTTGCATAAATCATCAGAGCTGAATCCAACCTTTCTCTCTGTCTCTGTCTTGTTCTGACATCACTGGTGAGAATATTTGGATTCATCAGCTTTTGATCATCTTAGACGTCACTCAGCTGCACGTCCTGCTGAACATGTTGTTCTGATGTTGAAGCAGCACTGCACAGCATAAAGTGATCAAACAGCAAACATGTGGACAGTTAGAGGATGATTTTATATGTCAGCATAACATCATTCATTTGAATTCTTTGTGTCTCAACAAGGACGAAAAACTGAAAGAAGTTCAGAGCTTGAAGGTTGTCAGAGCCTGACGGTAATCCCTTCCATTCATCCATTTATTGCTAAAGTTTCTTTCTTTATAAACATGTGTACTTATTGACTAAAGAGACTGTCCTCTGCAGCAGGACTGCAGTGATTGGACTAAACTTGAACCTGAGGTGAACAGTACAGATGCAGACGAGGCTCCAACTTACAGGTAAATCAACTTCCTGAATGCTGCAGCACAGCAAACTGGAACTACAGGAAACAGTTCAGCTTTGGATTTATTCCCAGAGGAAATTCTTCATTTTGCATCCGATTCACACGACTACTCTCTGTGTTTCCATTCACTCTGTTGTTCCTTCATGAGTGTGTATTTAATTCCTGTTTCAGCCTTCAGTCTGCAGCAGGACACTTTGAATGCAGAGTCTCGGGCTTGCGCTGGGTCTGTAAGGGAAAGACCAGCTTTCAGTACCAGTTTAGATCTTGGGAGGGACACATGGAGAGGATGGAGAGCAGACAATACATGCCTGCAGGTCCTCTGATGGACGTCACAGTCACTGCTGGGAAGTTAAATGAAGTTCACCTGCCACACTGGATCTGCATCGGTAAGAGGACATGAAGGAAGACTTTCAGATGTTTGACATTTCTGACAGTGAGCGCACAAACTGTTATAAACTGTTCTTCTCACCATGTTTGTGTTGTTGTGTTCTCCTGCAGATGACATCCCTGACATATTGGACACGTTTGCAGTCCTTCACATAGATGACTGTGGAGATGTTGTGGAAAAAGTGTCTGAGGTCACACCAACACATGTCAAGTTAACTGAACCACATTTCTCTCTAATAGGGGCTCTGATACGTTTATTCTTTCCTTTGAAAATCAGCTGTTACACGTTGATGTACTATAAACCCAACACATCATTTCTTAAACTCCACGTCTATCCAATCCGACAGGATCCTGCTCTGGAACAGGTAACTGAACAGATTCAATGTATTAGGATCAGTGCAGGCAAAGAAAGTCACAGTACGATTGCTTTTATATTTTATACTAGACACAAGGTGAAAAATATTATCTGGGCACACTGACCATTATTTTTAAATATGACATCATACTGACTGCAAACTCAATGATAAAAGTGTAATAAGCTAAAATGATCATTATCCTAACAGTTCATCATGAATTTATTTTGCGATTTTAAATCCAAACTGAATCTTCAGCTGCTGATGACTGATATCATCTGATAACAGGGAATAGACAAGGAAGAATCCTCAGATGGATACAAAAGAATCAAAAAACCACACCCAGACAAGTACCTGCAAACTGAGCGTACTTTCAGCCTCAGAGCCGACATGGAAACAGCAGAAATTCAACCACAGGTACAGTTTGTAAAAAGCTCTGCTGAGGAGATCTAGCCCCTCATTGTATGTGTGGATAAACCTCTACTCAAACATTTCAGTCATGTCCGCAGCTTGTTTTTAAGAACGCTTTCTGCTGTTCTTACATTATTATGGTAAATGGCCTGCATTTGTATAGCGCTTTACTTAGTCCCTAAGGACCCCAAAGCGCTTTACACTACATTCAGTCATTCACACACACATTCACACACACATTCACACACACTGGCAATGGCAGCTACATTGTAGCCACAGCTGCCCTGGGGCGCACTGACAGAGGCGAGGCTGCCGGACACTGGCGCCACCGGGCCCTCTGACCACCACCAGTAGGCAAACATGGGGTTAGTATCTCGCCCAAGGATATTTGGCATGCAGCCAGGAGGCAGCCTGGGATCGAGCCACCGACCTTCTGATTAGTGGCTGACCTGCTCTGCCACCTGAGCTATTACCACGTTATCACCACAATCTTCAAACACTTTTATAACCAAAGCATGTATTTTTAACCCACTAAACCATGAAAATTGTTTAGTGGGTTAAAAGCTGCACAAAATGTGTATTTTACATACATCTATCTATCCATGCTTTTTCTTCTACTTATCTGGGCCGGGTCAGAAGGGCAGCAGTGTGATGAACAGTGATGAGCTTTCTGGAATATGAAATAACTGGATAGCTTCAGCAACACATCACGTACAGAGTCAGTGATGAATACAAATGTAAAAAGGACGAGCAGACAGATTGTAATTCACTCTGCACAGAAACAATATGGACGTGTTTGTTGAGCTGTTTGAAATATTGCAAACCTTTGAACATCACGTTTGAAATTACTCCGTGTGTGTGTGTGTGTGTGTGTGTGTGTGTGTGTGTGTGTGTGTGTGTGTGTGTGTGTGTGTGTGTGTGTGTGTGTGAGACACACTTTTCCCCACAGGAGTTAACCTTCAGATATAACAGGATAAACTTCTATGAAGTGTTCATTGAGAATCCAGACAGAAAACTCAGGCTTACACTCCTGCACTCAAATAATGATGAAGCAGTCTGGACATGTGATGTTCATCAAGGTTAGTTATTCTGTTAAATAATACAATGTACACAAAGTGTAATGGAAAACTTTCATCCTTTTATTTGACGACTGCAAATTGAAGAGCAACAGCAATGTGAACGTGTTGTTTCTCTGCTATTTCATAATTTTTGGTCCCTGAATGCAGCACATCAAACAACAATATCAAACACTCATATTTTGATTTTCCTTTAATTCCAGATGACTATCCCATGTCTGGTTATGTTGAAGGTAAGAAAATACACTCAAAGAGTATTCAAACTAATTCTTTGCTTTCACTCATAACATAAAATGTGTTGCTGTAGCTTTAACTCTTATAGTTAAGTCGAATGCTGTTTAACATAATAGTTTGTACTGTGTTGGTACTGCTAAAACATTCCTGGCATCAGTGACTGTTCAGTTTAGAAGCTCGTCTGTAATGACAAACAGACTTTTCAGACACTGAGTGAATTAAACAGATCAGCAGTGAGTCATTTAAAACTAAGAAGAGTGAGTTAAGGGCAAATGTGTCTATATTAGACAATTTGATCTGTTTCTTTGTTTGTAATGAAAATTAATTAAATTGGTGCATTTAACACACAATTAAAAAAATGTCTTTACAGCTTCAGGAGCTTCAAGGGGAGCATCTGGTGTCAGTACTTCAGGTAATGGTAACATATATCAACTCTGCTGTTTTCTTATTAAAGGATTTTGTTGCAGTTGTTGACAAGAGGACCCAAGTGTAGACACTGCACAGTAAGCAGGCGCACTCAGAGAGCACAACTCCCCCTAAGAGCAAGGGCTGTACCAAAAGTTTGATGTTTATGATGTTTTTGTCACAACATGATGACATCAGCCTGTTTTTATTAAACATATCTACCTCAGCTGTTACTACAACATGCTGATGTCAGCATTGTTGATATGGAAATCTAGTCTAGTTTATTAACCTTTTTGTGTTAAAGAGCTCAAACGAAGAAAGTGTTGATGTTCCACAACGACTAATATGTTGCTTTAAATTTTTGAGATGATTAAATAGAAACTAAAGCTTTTTCCTATATCGTGGGACCCTGACCTGTGACCTTTGACCTTGAGATATTACATACTAAGATGGTGTATTTAATTATCTTCACCCATGTGATTGGAGCAGAATTGGCTGAAAACTTTGGCTTCTATAAGCTGTCAAAACTTTATGGCATCATTGTGAACTGAAAAAATACAAAGTGTGCTGTACATCCCTTACCATGCCCTCTCATATGACCTATTACTGGATATGTTGTTTTTTTATGTGATTATGGTTTTGACCTTGACCTTCATTGTTGGCACCCAAGATCAAAGTTGACAATAAAGGTCCAGGTTAAAAGCTTAGTTAGCATATTGTTGTGAATTTTGACAATCCATAAAAAAACACGAGGGAAAACAAGGCAGGAGAACAAACACATAAACTGCCACAGAGAGGGCAACGACACAAGGAGTAACTACTAAATAATCAAGGAACTAAACAGGGTAGAAACTAAAAACAGGATAACTAGGCACCATAGGACAGCGGTCCCCAACCCCCGGGCCTCGGACCGGTACCGGTCCGTGAGTCGTTTGGTACCGGGCCGCGAGAGTTGAGGCTCAGGTGTGAAATGTCTGGTTTTCAGGGTTTTTGTCGGTTTTCAGCGTTATTTTGTTATCGTTTTTATCGTTAACTCTGTTTTCCTGGGTCTTTTCACGTGTGTTATGAATAAAATTTCTTTTTTTTGGTACCGGTACTAGTTTTATTTTGTTGTATTTATCCGCGACACCTTAAAGGCCGGTCCGTGAAAATATTGTCGGGCATAAACCGGTCCGTGGCGCAAAAAAGGTTGGGGACCGCTGCCATAGAACACTAAGTGAACTTGAACACAAACCATAATACAAAATGACAAAAACACAGGAAAACTCAAAATGCTGGGTCAAATGACCCAGGATCGTGACAGCTGATGCTGTTAGGTATCAGCTTGTGATAAGAAACAAAATGGCACCATTTATTACAGAAAGGTTTTAGAAAAGAGCTCCATTGAACAGAAGTATGGTTTACTTGGAGAGGAAAGGATGCTGGTTTGATTCCAGTCAGAGGCACAAATCCCCCTTTGTGTTATGTCAGGAAGGGTATCGGCTGTAAAACTGCCAAATCAAACATCTGCAGTGACCCCGTATGGCAGGGCGCAGTTGAACGTAGCTTATTCCAGATTTCAAAACATATTTTTCAACATTATTCTGAAATTGCATTGAAATGGTCTGAAACCAAATCTCAGACATGACGGCTACACCTGTTTAATCAGATGACACAGCTCATTATTAAACTCTGATGCATCAAACAATGACATCAAGCGTCCATATTCCAATTTTTCTTACATTAAACGTGTCATCCAGTTTCTGGCCACGTTGCAGGTTAGAGAATTACATATATTACATATATATAATAAGTATTTATGTTGTGTTAGAGCTGAGATGACCCCTTATACAGGAGATACTGGACTGGTTTAAAGGTTTGGGGTCTGTTTTACTGTAGAGTATTACCCTAGTAGTAATCACCAGAAATTAAGCTGCTGGTGGGGAGACTCGCCTCCCTGTAACTGCCTTTGTTTGTATCTCTTTCTTGGCTCTTGACGGAGGCAGTCGCACTTTCTCTTTTTATCATTCACCATCCTCTGGTGAATAATAATCGAACAGGACCGCCTACCATGTGTTTCTCTTCAGGTTTAAATCGTTTGGATGTTTGGAGGCTGGCAGTGACGAAATAATAACTCGACTAAAATGCGTTAAAGCAAAAGTAACGAGCCGGTTTAGAAAATGTAAGAAGTAGAAAGTACAGATATTTGTTTATAAAGGCAGGGAGTAAAAGTAAAAAGTAGTGAGAAAAAGTAAGACTCGGGTAAAATACATTTGTATTTGTACTTCGTTACTTCTCACCTTCGTGCCCGAGGCCTTGAAACTGCCAAGCAGATGCACTCTCATGCAGCTCCTCATTTCCTGATAATAAAAGAGAAGACTGCAACATTAACTAGATACAATAATATTTAAATGTCTGGATGAAAAAAGGAAAGATGTCATTTATGTTCTTTTTAAATAGTCGACCAAAAGGAACGAATGTGTTTTTAACATTTAATGAATTTTAATTATGAAATAAGTGCGAATTTTTTAAAGCATTTTGTTATGAAAGCTGAGAATAAAGTGAATAAAAACTTCAGATGATAAACAACCCTTAATTTTTTTTTATTTATTTTTTTTTTATTTCTTTCCTTTTCTTTCTCCAGACAAGGACTTTGTGGACAAACACAGAGTCCAGCTGACCAACAGAGTGAGCAACATCGCACCCATTTTGGATGAGCTCCTAGACAATGAAGTTATCGACCAAGAAACTTATACCAGAATTAGAGCTCTGTCTACCACTCAGGAGAAGATGAGGGAGCTCTACATTGGTCCCCTGCAAGCTGCAGCCTGCAAAAAGATCTTCTATGACATCCTTTTGAAAAATGAGAAATTTCTCGTTAAAGAGCTCAGTGAAAAGGATTAAATGTGTTGAAAAAACAGTTTTTAGACCAAATATAGATCTACCGATATCTACCAGAACATAACATGATTACATTAAAAAGGTTTAGATGCCTTTTCTTTGTGGGGGTTTTATTTTACACTTACATTTTTGTAAAAACTGTTCTATGTGTTGCATTTGCTCCTCAGTGGCTCCTTTAATTGATCCATTTTACAGGAAAAACTATGGATATTTGAAAGTTTTATATTAAAAAATGTAAATGTTATATATGTTAAAAATGAATCAGCGATGTCATCAGCCATGTTTTTATCCAAACACGTTCTCATCCCAAAACGTAACATATATGTGACAAATCGTCGCTATGTTGCTCGTTCCCAGGCGTGAGAGCGGGTTGAAATTGATAAATGTAAGGTGATGGTTAATGCTAGGGTTAGGGCCGCGAAGAGAATAAAAAGGGGAGTGCTTCAATTAAGAATCCTGAGCGTTCATAAGGACACAGAGGGGTACCTTTCTCATTACTATGAATCCTCGGGGCCGTGAAGCTGTGAATGAGTTTTATCCATAAATCATCCAAAGCCTCATTAATCTCTTTTTCAATGTCATCATCTTATTGTAACTTGAAACATAGTGACAAAGATTTACTGTCCTTAAAAAAATAAACCAAAATTAAACTCATGTTTTTCTTGTTCATTTTGATGATTAATTAAAACGTTTTATAATTTAATCTTTGAAATAAAATCTTCATTTTTATCAAATGATTTATTCAAATAATAATGCAGTGCACATTATGGAGGGATGGGGGAGGCAGAAAATCAGAATATTCATTCAAAAATATGATGGTAAAACACTGGGAACAATTTCTGCACAAGATTTTAAATGATGTTTTGCATTTGTTGTCCAGATACGCGGACATCCCATTTTGGGTTGTCTCGACCACACTACTAAATTTTGCTCTACAAGGGCCTGATATCCACTTACGGGGACGTTATACTGCCACTGTTCTATCGAAATCTAAAACGAATGTGCTCATATGTGAATATCAGGCCATTGTAGAGCAAAATTAGGTAAAAAGATAATTCTTTGTTTTCACATTCATCACGTCCCAATCAAGCGCTCGGGTCTTAGGAAGTTACAGGACTTTTTTCAAAGTGGCTAAACAAACACTTTCAACTCCTTAATCAACTTAATCTGTGAAGATTTGAGCATCAAACTTCACCCAAAGTACCTAAAAAACGAAACACTGAATGAATCACTCTGGCACAACATATGGTCTGAAATCATCTGCTTCTGGACTGCAGAGAAAACGTGAAAAAGGCGCGCGTAATGTTAAAAAAGAGGAAGTAGGGAAAAGCCGGCTGCAGGTCACAGACTTTACCGCGGAGGAGGCGCTTCGGTGGTTCTGGAGATCCTGAAACAAATCGACAGCAGCGCAGAGGTAAGAATCTGCGATTAGATTCATATTTTAAACCCGACACAAACCGCTGCGCTAGCTCGGTGTCAGGGTTTGAAGACTGAGTGTTAGATTATTGTATCGTACGGAGCGAAACCTAATAATGAGCAACTACTGGAAGGACCGCTGACGTATCCGCACATCTGTACAACAAATAAAGTTTAAAACGGAAGCAAAAATGTTTAAAAAAGTCTGTCTGAAGGGGGAACATTTTCTCAGCTATTCTCACAGTTGTAATCAGCACATTGGTTACTAGGGCAGCGTGCTGTTTTTATTAGCAATGTTTTATTAGCAATAGATCGAATAAAATAAAGAAAAGATAAGATAACCTAATCCTGAAATGAGCTTATCTATGCATGTCCAGTGGAGCCAAATATTAATAACCTAAAGAAGAGCCATGATTTAGTTGGTTTTAATGTTTTCTGGTGCATCAGCCCATCGTTTATTGTTTTCAACCAACTGGAAACAAATAAGGTGCACAGTTTTAAATCTGAGCAGCCCTTCATCCTGTGGACAGAAGGAAGTTGTTTATATTCTATCAGTGTAAAACATCATCATCAGTATTAATCAATAGTTTTTCCCCTCTGCTTGTTCCAGCTGCAGCATCTGGTGGATGTACAATGGCAGACGGTAGGTGCAGCATGAAGTCCTCTCCCTGTAACTGATCCTGACTCAAACTATAACTTAGCCTGAGGTCAAGAGTAATGAAAAAAAAAAAAAAAAAAAAAAGATGTGTGCACTGTGAGGCACAGAAATGAAAACAAGTTGTAGCGACTTCCACAGTCGCTAGAGGCCGGGGATGAAGCCTGCCTATTTGCCTGACGCGCTGTCAACTTTACGCAATAATGCGAGAGGTGGAATTGTTTGCTTGTTTATTAAAGTGCTTTGAGAGTTTACAGAGTAATGTCATCGGCTCCTGATTCAGACTCTTACAACGTCACAGGCTCTAATATAACGAAGCGAAACATGTTGTGCAGCGGTCAACAAAAACTACGGCTACCCAGCCTTCCTCTCTGTCAAAATCAAAACCAGTGAATGACAGACTGACAACGCCCATCTATGTCACCGCTAGCACCCACGTGACTCCCATAACAACCAAACAAATAAAAACCCAGTGATCATCAAAATTCAATACATTCAATTATGGCTGCTACACAAGTCTTTGAGACTTTGGTGACGTGCTTTGTGGTGTTCCTGCAGTCTAAAAAGAAGTATCATTTTAGCCAGCTCCTGATTTTAAAGAGTCTGCTCTCAGCTGTTTGGTCTCCAAAATCAATGAAATGCAGCCAGATGCTGCTCCTTTTCCATTTTTGCTTGTTTCTTCACTTTTCTGTGGTGCTCTGAGTACCTGGTCCGTACCACTACACTCGCTGTTCGCCCCCTTCCTTTATTCACATAACTGTCTGATCCTTATCTGTCCCTGCATGCCATTGGTCACACGGTGTGCCCACCAAAGCTGCTGGTTGCATGGATTCTCGGCAGGGCTGAGTGGTTGAGGCTGAAGAGTCGGCTTTTGTCATTTGCTACAAAGAATGATCTCTTTGTGTCGGCTCGTTTGTGAATGACACATCACTAAACCCTAAGTTCGGCTGTGGTGCTGCAGCATGAGGACAGAAATCACTTAAAAATAAATCATAATAATTTCTCTTGTGAGCACAGGTGGCTTCTGTGTAAAGGTTATGATCAGCTGACCGACGCTGCTACTATTTGTGGATTTAGCCAACTGAACTCAGCAGGCTTATAAGCAGATGTTCCATGAGCTGTGATGGCTGATTTCCAATTCAATTCAATCCGTTCAATTCAATTTTATTTATATGGCACTGAATCAACGATTGCCTCAGTGTTCTTTAGTATGAAGAATGAAGCTGCTGTTAAGGTGGAATTCAGTATCATTACCTTAAATTTAATTTGGTGTTTGCTGCCCTTGATGTAACCTTGACCATGAGCACCACAGTCTGTTCTGCACAATCCAAAAACAACAACTAAAGCAACCATTCCCAAAGTCAGGAGTGCTGCTGCTAAAAACCCAGGACAGGTCTGGGCTGAGACAAAAATCGGTGGGGGCTCATCATGATGGGTCTGTCTGTCTAAAAAACCTGGACCCCCCATGGCTGACAACCAAGATCACGTGAAGTACCCTCTGAAAGTCGGCTAAAAGATGTGAATGAAGCATCCAGCAGCGAGTGAAACCAGCTCACTAGATTCTCTGTAATAAAAGAGGAAACTGCAACATTAACTTGACTCTTGGAAATTCAGGAAACACAATAATGTTTCAATGTCTGGATGAAAAAAGTGAAAGACATCATTTATGTTCTATTTTTAACATTTAATTAATTTTAATTATGAAATAAGTGATTTTTTAAAGCATTTTGTTATGAAAGCTGAGAATAAAGTGAATAAAATTTTCACATGATAAACAACTGTAAACTTTTATTGTATTTCTTTCCTTTTTTTCTCCAGGAAAGCATTTTGTGGACAAACACAGAGTCCAGCTGATCCAGAGAGTGAGCAACATCGCACCCATTTTGGATGAGCTCCAATACAAGGAAGTTATCGACCAAGAACAATATGACAAAATTAGAGCTCTGCCTACCTCTCAGGACAGGATGAGGGAGCGCTACAGTGGTCCCCTGAAAGCCAGTGCAGCCTGCAAAGACATCTTCTATGAAAGCCTTTTGGCCTTTTGTTTCTGATGTAAACATAAGAAATATCAGACTCTTTGTTTTATGCTTTAATATCATAGTGGGCGGATTTAAAACACTGGTTATAATTTGGACCTGGTGACATCATACAGGCTACGAACGTTTACTCTGTTGTTAATAATTATTCCAGAATAAATGCACTTAAAAAAATAAACTTTAACTTTGTATTTATTTTATATTTTGCTCTCCATAAAAATATATCCTGTCAAAATTATGCAAATTAGAAATATGAACATGCTGCCAAAAAACCCAGAAAAAATAAATGAAAGCAAACACAAGGTTGGAGCCGCATGTAGACGAGCAAAGTGCGCCGACTTTGTTCAACATTACTCGGCAACAGGGAAAGTGAGGCAGGTTGCACTGGTGCATTTGTGACAGCTTCACTTGAAATGCCTCCACCGCATCATACATGCCATGAACTGACAGGTTTCCTTGCGGAGCTCAAACTCTGTTGAGAACTTTTCCCCAACTCAGCCAGCGGACCTCTGTATGATGAGGAATGTTGGCAAACTCTGAATCTATTTCCCACATAAAAGACTGAAATTGACGCTGATTTAAACCTTTAGCTCAGATAAAATTTACGGTCTGTGTTACGGTGATCATTACATGCTCCATTTTTAGGACTTTACCACACAGCCTTTCCTGGTGTGTGATGCAGTGATATGCTGTTAACTCACCGTACAGTTCTCCTGCATCTTTACTAGATCCTACATCCTGCACAACACCAGCGCTCCATCTGTTGTCCCAGGGCAGTTTCATGTCGGTTACACTTTGAAATACCTTTTCAAAAATGTCTTTTCCTGTCGTTGTCCCGTGCATTGATTTAATGTTCAATATTTACACTCCACGGATGAAGATGGTCAGCTGTGCAGTGTCCATCATGTCTGTACTTTCATCCACAGCAAGAGAGTATGCAATGAAGGTTTTGCTTCTTTCACACAACTGTGTTCTTAAATCAGTGGCCATCTCACAAACCCGATCAGCAATCGTATTTCTGCTCAGGCTCACATTTGCCAAGATCTGCGTTTTGTCTGGACACAAGACGTCGCACAGCTTCATCATGCAGCTCTTCAGAAACTCTCCCTCGGTAAATGGCCGGGCTGATTTGGCTCCTCTGCTACAATAGAACTTGCTTTCACAACAGCTTCAGTTTGTGGCTTTGCTCTGGTGACAAACGTCTGCTGAATTGGTAAATGGCCTGTATTTGTATAGCGCTTTACTAGTCCCTGAGGACCCCATATCGCCGGGGCATGCATAACAATAATAATAAATCTATATAAAATGATCTTGCGGGCCATAAAATGTTATTCCACAACTTAGACATCCACATTATTCACACTCACACATACATACAGGGCTGTGGGGGTGGACACACTATACAGCGTCCAGCCTCACCTCTGGCGCCACCTCTGAATTTTAAATGCATGTAAACATTGAGGGTTCTCAAGAGGGGCCGTGCTGACACTCGCTGCTCTCTGGCAGGAAGCCATGCCCTGCCATGTTTTAAAAGCACTTTAGAACAGGACACAGCAACACTACACATGAGCAGGTGGAGGGAGGTTTGGGGTCTTCGTACACCTCTGGTGGGCCTGGGGCTCTGGTAACAGGTTTGAACGTAGGAGCGTTAGGATTTAAAACGCCCAAACGCCCCTGCTCTCGTTCTAAATACGAATTCATTCCATCAGATTTACCATTAACCGCACTTGAGACTCGGGACATTTCAGAAACTTTTAAAACATTCACCTCTGCTGCTGAAGCTGCCATTTCAGTTTCTAAGTCAAGCAGCTCCTTTCTTTTCTTAAGCTGTGTTTCTTGTTCTTCCAAAGCATGCTTTTCTTTCAACAACCTCTGTCGAACAAGAAGGGCAGCCATGTCAGCTTCTGCCATTATGCGTGCTGACAAGGCAGATGAAACCATTGAGCCACTGAGTGATGATTTACTTTTCCTACAACTTCTGCTTCCAACATTAGAGATGCTATCACTTGGATTAACATCATCTATCGCAGCACCTTTACCAACATTCCCGGTCTGCCTAGAAACACCAGAACCATTTCCAGCAGGTAATACATCAGAAGACTCAACACCAGGTGGATTTAAATGTGGCAAATCAAGCTCAGACACCTGATTTTTGCTCTGAGGGTTTCCCTTTGCATCACGAAGCCATTTCTTTATCTCTTCCACAAACTCAGTATTATGTGCTTTCACACTTATAAACCAAGCAGTTTGTTTCTCTTGCTCTTCTTGAGGAAGCAAAGGAAGCAAGGTTTCATGCAGACGAGTTGCCTCATTAAGCAACACAGACAAATTCTCTAACTGAGCCTGAACAGTGGAAACATTATCCTCAGATTGCTTTAACTCTTTAATAATTTTTACGACCTTTTTAATTTTCTTAATCTTAGTGTGACGTTCTGTTTGCAGCCTTTCAATCTGATTCTCCAAAGCCTTAGCAGTCGATTTCGGCTGTCTTTTCTTTCCATCCACATCACCACATTGTATTAATTGGTGTGTCTCCATTTTTCTTCAAAACATTACAAAATCCAAACGCTGAACTGCACCTATGCCACACAGCCTCATCCCAACACATCAACTTGATGACATTCCCTTCAATCAACCTTGGACACACACAATTAACAGGAGCAATATCCCCCTCTATCTGCCTATTAAACCTAACTAACTCAACCTAGTCTTCTGTACATACTAGCGGTGGGTATTTATGTACCTCCATACCGTCAGCTGTGAGGAAGACAAACTGTCTTAAACACAAACTGCGGCGGTACTCCCAAGCCAATGGCTTCAGCCGCCTGATGCACAATAACTAGAAAGCAAATCAGTACAACGCCTTGTGCAGCTGTACTGCTGAAACCTAACAGGGGAATAAGACTCCTGAAAGAAATCTGTATTGTGTAGCCAAAGGCTTAATCTAAAAGCTGCGTGGACAAAGGCAACAGCAAACCATAAGACTCTCACCAATAAAACTCATCTATATATAAACAATCCAATAAAACCTATAAACTTTTCTGTTGACAATTTGTTGTGGCTCTTCCAACTATGGCCGCGGCAGGCTAAACATGAGGATACAGATGACGCGCAACAATAAAAGCATAAAATACACTTCTGTACCATTTGCTTCTTTTATTCCACATGCAGCTGTCCAATATACAAATCAGCACGTGGGATTAACTATTAAACAAATGCACAGACTGCACAAACAAATAACTGCTACTCACAAAGAACTGCACTAACTACTATACCAAACTACAACTTGGCCTATGGCATCAATTAGTGCATAAATATACATAAACCATCAAGTTCCAGTTAAAATACATCAAAATCATTCAAGCTGCGGTCAACAGAAAGTTTTGCCTCATGCTCACCTTACCTTTCTGCTCATCAACATCAGGTGCTGTAAACAGGTGAGTGCAACCACATTTATCATCTACCACACCCATGAAACACGCCCCACATGCCTGTGCACCAATACAGTGAGTCCATTTAAACCAACCCACTTAGTCAAAAAGGAACAACTCATATGGCTCCTACAGACATCATTTATGTTCTATTTTTAACATTTAATTAATTTTAATTATGAAATAAGTGTGATTTTTTTAAAGCATTTTGTTATGAAAGCTGAGAATAAAGCTAATAAAATTTTCACATGATAAACAACCGTAAACTTTTATTGTCATTTCTTTCCTTTTTTCTCCAGGAAAGCATTTTGTGGACAAACACAGAGTCCAGCTGATCCAGAGAGTGAGCAACATCGCACCCATTTTGGATGAGCTCCAATACAAGGAAGTTATCGACCAAGAACAATATGACAAAATTAGAGCTCTGCCTACCTCTCAGGACAAGATGAGGGAGCTCTACAGTGGTCCCCTGAAAGCCAGTGCAGCCTGCAAAGACATCTTCTATGAAAGCCTTTTGGCAAATGAGAAATTTCTCGTTGAAGACCTTTCAAAGAAGTAAATGTGTTGGGAAAAAAACACATTTTTAGATCAAACGTACACGATCTACCTGAACATAACATGTTTACATTAAAAAGGTGGAGATGTCTTTTCTTTGTGGAAAATTGTTCTGCTATGTGGTGCCTTTGCTCCTCAGTGACTCTCCTTTAATTGATCCATTTTACATGAAACACTTTGGATATTTAAAATTTTTTATATTAAAAATGTAAATTGTATCATTTAAAGATGAACTGACGATGTCATCAGCCATGTTTTTATCCATGACTCAAACTGTCATAAATTTATTTTCAGATTTCATTATCTTCTATAAAGTAAAACATAATGCAAACATTTATTGTCCTTAAAAATAAACCAGAATTAAACTCGAAGAATTCGTTTTAGTGAATAATTAAATTTTATAAATTGACCTTTGAAATGAATAAATAAATATAGTGACATAAACGCAGTGTACGATGTCTGCATCCGAGTTTAAACAATGTTGTCTACTTTTTTCCAACTGGCTAAACAAATATTTAAACACTTTAAAGTCACGATCCTCCTCAATCAACTTACTTTGTAATTAATCTGCAAAGCTTTGAGCATCAGACTTCACCTAAAGTACCTAAAATGAAATCAGGATCATTTACATGATGTCACTGGCCTTAATTACTGATTCATTAATGTGTGTATTAGCCTTTTGTTGCAGCTGATTTGAATTTGTTATATAGGTGACTGTATCTATATTCAAACTGTACATATTTTTAAATTTGCATTTTTTAAATGTAAAACGACCCTCAGGACTCTCCTCTGGCATCAAGTAAAATGTCAGATTTTAAATTCTAGTGTAATGAGTATTGCACTGTGCCTGTCTGCAGTAAAAAGGGTTTGAATGATGAGCCAATAATATCTACCTGAGCTTCCCAAAACAAGATATCAAACACGGTTTAGGAATCAAACATAACTCTACTTTTCTCCTCCCTCTTCTTTGAACCTGTTTTCTAGTTTTTCTAGAGGCAAAGTCATTTATTGCATCATTGCAAGAAATATGATGTCCACTCGTCTCCTGTGCCACTGAAGATATCAAGTAGTTATTTATTCACTCGAGCTTGGAACTCCGTTCTGTGGATACAATGAAGTTATCATTGCTTTGGGGAATTCGGGAAGGCTCTCCATCTCGGTAGGCAGCGCATTTCCATCAATATCAGCCTCTTTTCTGGTTTGCACCCTGTTCTGGTCGAGTACGACGGCTTCAGTCTTCATTTGTTCACATATCTCTTTTACTGAGACCTGTGCATCTTTGAAATGCGTTGCCCCATAACTGATTACATGTTCTTTGCTTTTCTGAGTGAAACAAACAAATGAAATAAGATATAATATTATGCACATATATATAGTATGTATATATTTAATTTTGTTTTGATCACTGATATTGAAACCATTTTTTAAAATTAGGCTAGTGAAGTTGTTGTTGGTTTCTTATCAGTTGCACTTCTCCATGGATGGTGCTATCAACAGCCGCCTACTGTGAGTGTGAGGTCTTGTTACTATGCTGGTACTGCTGTTGACGGTGCTGCAGCAGCAGTCCCTACAGCTAACATGTTGGTTAATTTGACACATTTTGCTTTATGTATATTCATTTTTTAGAGCAGCAGACCCAGACTTCAAACACAGGTTTTGGAGAACCTGTTTGGCTTCTATGCCTTGTCCAAGCCGCTGTTTATATTTATGTTTAACACAGAGAGAGAAGCTCAATTGTTTGAATTTATTTACAATTACAGTTTTCAAAAAATTCTGACCGTAAACAGCTTTCAAAGCTTTGATATTATTTGAGAATATATATCAGGTGATGGAATTTAATTTAAAGGTTTCTATGTCCCATTGAGCTTTTTGCACTAACTAGTGACAGTATAAAGGTAACACAGTCGTAATTTTGATCTCAAATTTCTGAGAGAAATAACTGAATTTAAAACATGGCAGACCTCAGGCCAGATTTAATTGGTAGACATATATGCATGCAATATGAAATTTATTATCCCAGATAGTCTAAGGAGCAAGGGCGTAGATTTGGCATGGACGGAAGGGACATGTCCCCACCAATAATCAGCGATTATTGAATTGTCCTCACCAATAACCTTGGCTCATGTGATTAGGTAGAGGATCATCAGGGGGTCCTTCGTCCGTCTTTGGGGGGAAACTCCCACTGGGTTTAAATCTGGGACTCTCCACCATTTGATCCTAGAACTGAAGAAGCTTCTTGGATGAGAGGTGACACGTCTTCAAGCAACTTAAAGAAGTCCAGACACTTTTCTTTCCAAGCTCCTTAGACTACGATGACCTGGATGACTGGGAACCTTCACAGACAATAATAATAATAGTGAATACACAGCAAGGTCTTCACACTGTGAATGCTCAGGCCCTCGTTACTAAATGTATCTGTGGTTTAGGTGATCATCAGAAAAATCATACATTATCATAGAAATGCCTAATGTAATTGCTAAAAAAAAGTCTTAGTGTGGAAATGATATATTTTCTTTATAAATGTTGGCTTTTTTATATTAAATTTTTTTTGAGAAAACATGATTTAAATGTCTTTAATTAGTTTTAATATTTAAAACAGCAACAGAAACATTAATATTTAATTTTTCTTTATGAATGTTTGAATTTTCCAGGTTGCAACAATGGCAGCTGTTAAAGATCTGCTTCTAGAAACACAGGAGGATTTGAGTGATCAGGGTCTCAAGGAGTTCATGTGGTTCCTGCAGTTCACATGTTTTCAGAGGGGCCTTCCACAATTCCCACCGAGTACAAACAGAAAACATATAGTGAACGCGATGGTGCAAACATGTGGCCAACAGTCTGTGGAGGTAACCATTGATGTTTTCAGGGACATGCAGAGAACTGATCTGGTGCAGAGGCTGTCAGAGAGCAGCTCAGGACTCAAAGGTAAGAGAATAATTATCCCTAATAAAAAAATTTATCAAGAGTTGATTCAAAATCTTTGAACCAAGTCACAAAAACTGAACAATGGAAGCTTTTTTGTCTTCCTGAAAGAAGGCAGGAGGATTTTTTTCACTGAAGTGTTTAATAATAGATATTGTTAAATAAAACACAGACATTAATATTAAGATTACAAACGACTAAATTCTTTCCTTACACACTTAATTGTTTTCTGATCATTAACCCTGATGTTAAATAAGTTATGAATGGATCTAAGGTGGACGACAGACACTAGACAGACAATCATTGTGGAGCCTAAAGAGAGCAAATGAAGTAATAGATAGATGAGGTGTTGTTCACAGCCGGCACCTTTCTAACTTTGCCAGCATCAGCTTTAAAATCTGTACCTGATCCTGAGAGTTGTTGTTGTGGCGGCTGAAAAGCTGCAGCTGTGTGTGTTTGTAACAGCAACCGAGTGTAAGTATGAATAAAGATTGTGCTGAAAAGCATTAAACTGTGGACGAGTCTGCTGTGGAGCTGCTACACTTTCTTTTCTCATGGTAACCATGATATTGTAATATTTCTCCCAGAGAAACTTTGTGGATGAATGCTGGGCTGCGCTGAGCCAGAAAGTGAGTAATATCACCTATGACTGTATTTAAATGATGCAGCGTTCACTGAACATGTTCAGTTTAAAAAACTCCTACATGTAGAAAAGATAAACAGAAAGATTAAATTCATCAGGTTGGAATAAATGTTAATCAGGTGTGTAATTATCACTTACATCATTTGCTTGTAACTGTGTCTGGTGTAATCTAAACATTTATGAGACATTGATGAGATAGAAAAAAAACCTGGAGAAAAGTCGCATTTACCTTTTTTTTCTCAGGTAGAAACGTTGGCGTCTGTTATTGAGCTGATTTTGGAAACCCTGGCTGGTCTGAGTTACTGGGAACTTGAGGTTTTCAAGGAAGTCCTGCGTAAAATTCATTACAAACATTAGTCACACATCCAAAGAATCATCTACATGAGGACAGACCTGCAGGACACGGTGTTTTTCATGGTCCTGACTTACGGTGAGCGGTCAGTGGAGGAGACCATGGAGGGTTTAAACGAGATGAAGGGGACTGATCTGGCTCAGAGGCCGTCAGACTGCAGCCCAGAACCCAAAAGTAAGACAACAAAGAGGAAATAAGTTAAATGAACTGTGGTGGTTAAGATGTCTCATAAGTAAAGTTTTTGTCTTTCATAAAAATATTGTAGAGAAAAGACAGATTGTTGTCCAAATCAGAATTTATGAGTGTTCAAGGAACAAAAAAATGACAAAAAGTGACTCCTTCAGTCTGAGAGACTGAATAACACAAACAGTGTCTATCATGGTTGAGCTTTAAATGTAATGTTGAAGATTATACAACTGTCAGTTGGTAAGTAAGTCTCTTGTGAGTGACTTTGAGCACTTTTCTCCTCAGAGAAACACTCTGTGGACGAACGACGCTCTGCACTGATCCACAAAGTGAGTCATGTCACATCTCTGATTCAGTACAAGACAGCAGGCTGAAAGTCAGAGGACTAAAGTATCATCAGTTCTCATGTTGAGTCATTTTTCTCATGATTTCTGCTTTTTTGTGGTTATGAGAAATCATACTGAACTTTCTAAAAGAGCTTATTTGGATAAAATGGATAAATAAATAAATGTCCTGCAAATTGAATGACTTTTCCAGGTGGCAATGGTGGCAACTGTGAAACAACTGCTTTTGGAAGCTTCGAATGATTTGAGCTCGAGGAGTTCAAGAGATTCCTGAAGTCAATTTTTCTTTGGATGAGTCTGTCATACAAATCACAGAGTCCATCATCAACCAGAGCAGATACAGTAAATCTGATGGTGGATAAACTTGGTCATCAGTCTGTGGAGGTGACCAGAGAAGTTTTCATGCACATGAACAGAACTGATCTGGTGCAGAAGTTACCAGAGAGCAGCTCAGCATCCAGAGGTAAGACCAACATGCATGAGTGTAAACTCTGTGTCATCAACAGGTTTTTGTGTTGCTGGTGTCATGGTGGTGCAGTGGTTAGCACTGTGTCCTCACAGCATGAAGGTTGTGTGTTTGAGCCTCCTGGTTGGCTGGAACCTTTCTGTGTGGAGTTTGCATGTTCTCCCTGTGCCTGCATGCTTTTCCTCAGAGTGCTCTGGTTTCCAGTCCAAACACATGCTTGTTGGCTTTATTGCTGGTTCTAAATTAAATGTGGGTGTGAAAGGTTGTCTGTCTGTTTAAAACCTGAGGTGGACAGGTGTACCCTCTCTCATTATCACAGCTGGGAACCCCCAGTTACTTTGGTTGGACAGGATGGAGGGTTTCTTTGTTGGGTTCTTATGTCATTTTATAGTTTCACATGATTTTCTCTTTTAAATCATCTGTGTCGTCTGAAGGCTGATTCTACTTGGATGTGTGATGATGTTTGAATCCTCAGAGTTGATGGTAAATGTCTTTCCTCCTCAGAGAAACACTCTGTGGATGAACATGGAGCTGCACTGTTGAAGAGAGTGAGTGTGACTCTAACTCAGCTTTCATTCAGTAGATTCAGGCTGTAAATCATCCTCATCTTGAACATTAAACACGATGAAACAGACGAAGCATCTTTGAAACTGGATGCTTCTCACAGTGTTAATGTGGAGTCTGCAGCAATAATGTTTCCACTGACGACAGAGTGAAGGACTCCGCCCTCAAACCAGCGTTCGTCCCTGTACCATTGTTAATTCAGTGGGTTGGTTTCGCCCCCTGTTGGCTCTCCAGGAAACTGCAGGTCTTCCTGATCGTTGACAGATGTTTAGTGAATAACAGAAACACACAGTATTAAAGATTTATACCGTCTGTGGTAAATTACAGCTTAAAAACTTGCGTGTTCAGTCAGACATAAGTAGCTCTAGTGAGCATGTGAATGTGATGCTTACTTTGGATTATGGAACTTTTTCCGTTATTCAGGCGGGCTGACAGCTGGGAGGAGAGAGACGCAGAAAAGCGGAAGTTTTTCCGCCTCAGCGTTTACAGAAAGTGAGAGAAAGCAGCGGGAGAACAGTGCCTCACACTAAGCTGCTTCACAAACACTGAAGAATGATTTTCCATCAGCAGTGATTCCTGGTGTTCACATTTTACATGAAGTATTGAAGGTAAGCGCGGCATTAAGTTCTGCTTCCTCCTGGAAGTTCACGTTCTTAGTTCTGCTTCCTTGTTAGGGGAGTGCGAAGGCCCTCTATCTGCTCTGTTTCTTCTTATTATTATTATTCAGGCAAAACAAGGGCCTGTTTGAGGGCCTAAACATGCTCAAAGACTCATGAAGTTTTGCACACGCATCAGGTCTGGTGAAACATTTCGTATTTTAATGGTTTTACATATGAGCATTTGAAAATGGCTCCGTAGCGCCACCTATTTGGGGTTTGATAACCTTCATATTTGGTCAGTGTCAACTACACACCCGGGCCATGTTAAACTGCGGAGCTTTTGAGTTTTCGGGACACTTTGGGGTACAGTATAGTGATGGGTGACATCTGCAACCTCAAATTTCTCCAGGAAAGACTTTTTTTTTTTTTTTGCCTGTCCCGTTTGGATCTTTAGCCATCAGAATTGTTGTCTGAAGGCCAAGAAAGATGCTGTACTTTACCAATTGGATCATCGTAGCCTTGCCATATTTGTCCATTTGATTGACCTTCATTATAATTATGTATTTATTTTATTTTTGGTTGTTACAGGCCGGACAGACATGACTGGGGGATAGGACAGGGAGAAAGAATGAAAGAGAGAGGGAGAGAAAGAGTTTTTATTTATTTTTACCTGGATCACCTGTTGAGAAAGAAAAAAGAAAACAAGCAGAAGAAGACGAGAGCAATACAATAAACAACATCATGATGATCTATGTGAATATAACAGTAAATAGTAAATATTAAACCTTATTGTGCAGCACGTAAGATCGACAGCGCACAGTGTGCTTTGAGGTAGGAGCCAAAAAGGGTGTAGTTTGTGTGTGTGAGTCCCCGTGTGTACACCTGTCAGCATGGACACGCTTGTTTTTAAAAGGTTCCTTCATGTAAGTAAATAAAAGCCTTGTTGAGAATTAAAGTGTTTCTCACCTGTGAGAATCTAGAGGGCTTTTAATTTGAAAGAGTTTGTATAAACCAGGGGTGGGCAATTCATTTTCGCAAGGAGGCACATTTGAAAACGAGACTGTTGTGGAGGGCCTTTCCAACAAGCTGAACTCAAACTCACACACTCACGCTGCTGTGTTGCATGTTTTTATTACACAATTTTACTCAAGTTTCAAGCTGATGTTTGACGTTCACGTCCAATCACAGTTTTCATTTGGGTGATGGAAAAGTAACAAACGTCCATGTCAGTAATGTTGTCATTAGTGAAATACAAAGCAGTCAGTTTCCATCCATCAAATGAACAAACAGCAGACATGCTGTCCTTCATGTATAATATGATTTCTTCATTTTCCAGGTGGTAACTATGACGACTAAGAAGCTGCTCATTGAAACACTGAACCAGTTGAGTCCAGAGGACTTTGCTGAGTTCAAGTCACTCACTGAACTGGAGAAAGATCTATCATTTAGGGAAAAAAAAAAAAAAAAAAAACTGGAGAAAGATCTATCATCCGAGCCAAGGGGCCGACTGAAAACAGCAAACACACAGGATGTAGTGAAGCTGATGGAGGAGACGTACAGAGGAGAGAGTGTGGAGGAGACCAGAAAGGCTTTAATGAAGATGAACAGGACTGATCTGGTGCAGAGATTATCAGGTATCACCTCAGGAACCACAAATAAGAGAACAAAGACTTAAATATGTGAGAATACTGCACATAGTTTATCACATTCATATGAAACCAGGTGCTGACTGATAGAAAAATCTCTTGACTCTGTGTTGTGTAGTGAATGATGAACAAAGACGTGTATATTTTCGTGCTGCTTTTTATAACGTGGATTAGAGCAGAATATGTGCAGGTCAGGCAGGTTGGCTCATTACAGGAGGCTCAAACACAGCACACTACAAAATAATAGCAGCTTATAGCCGGTGTGCAGTGATATTATGTGACTGTTTCAGGACTTCACAATTACAACAAACCACTGAAACTCTTCTTATTAACAGTTAGACAGTTACAGAGGTCACGTGCTCTGTATAGTGGTCGCACTCATGCTGATACCTAATGATCCCACACAGTGCAGTGATCCACTGCCTCTGAGAGAGGGCGCCATTGAGCCAATAAACATCACAAATCCATTGTGGTTATTATGGAATCACACACACCATAAACACTGTTACACAAGCTCAGTTACAGTATTTTGATCCGATCAGAACAAAAACATCCAACATCATTCAACATGGTTGGAAAGTCTTCAAGCAGCTCTACAGGTTATAATTATGTCACTATTAACCCTCATCATACTGACTGAAGTCTGTGGTAGATTTTTGTCATACCTCACAGATGTGTTTTTTTCTATCATTTAAATTTTTAATGAATTTGTCAGGTTGTTGCTAATGTTTCACACAATTTTCTATTTCTGCTTTGATTGGTGCTTCTTTAAAAATACAAATGTTTGTAGGTGTCAGAGGACTCCAGTCAAACAATTCCACCTTTACAGTTTTAATAAATGGGACTTATTAACTGTATTGTGAATTTATTCAGTTGCAGCTGGTCCTAAATTAAAGTAACACACAGTATCTAGTATCTGTCAGTGTCTATAAAGAAGAAAGAGTCAGATGCCATCACTGCCTTCATCGTCTGGATGGGGAACTTTCCAGAAGTTATGAGAATGTTGGAGACGTAGCTGCATCTACTGTACCTGAGAGAGCTGGAGTTCTCTGGTCACGCAACCCATATCAAGGAAGCATGTAACAGACACGCATGTGCAGCACGCTTTGGAGAGACAAAGCGCTTCATGGAGTCATGACCTCCAGCTCTCACTGGGGCAGTTTGAATCTGAATGTGCAACAAGTGGGTGAAAGTAGCACCTCCAAGTTTTAGGCCATGGTTCTCAGCTGGTAAAGGGTGGAGTGCTCACTCCAGGTCACGGACGAGTTCCCCCATTTGGAGGAGTTTAAGTATCTAAGGGTGTCGTTCACAGGGGAGGGGAGAGTGGAGCAGGAGACTGACAGATAGATTAGTGCTGTGTTTGCAGTGATGTGGATGCTCTGCTGATCTGCCCTGGTGAGGAGAGAGCGGGCCCTGATGTTTTAGATTTGTAGGTGGAGCTATGTTCCTGCCCATGCATATGGTCACAAGCTCTGAGGACTGAAAGAATGAGATTATGGATACAAACAGAAATGAGTTTCCTTTAAGTCTATCTGGGAATGTCCTACCAGGAGGAGGCTGCTGGACAGATCTAGACATGTCTGGCTGATCCTCTGAGTCTTATCCAGTAGATAATGCAGGGTTCTGGAGCCGATGTAGGTGAGGGGACTGGTCCAGCCTCACTGCCTTGACATGCAAGTGTCTGCCCTACTTTCCCTGATATGAAGAAACCTGAGTAGCCTTGCAGGTCAAATCTCTCTAATCTCTGGTCCAAAGGGCCAGGACTGTCCAGGACTGTCCGCTGAAGTCCATTGAGGATGTTTTCAGGAGAGGATGTTGTCTAACCTTTTCTTTTTTTTTTTTTTTTTTTTTTTTTTTAATAGGACAGGGGGAAAGAATGAAAGAAAGAGGGGGAGAGAAGGAAAGAAAACCAAAGGGGAGAAGAGACGGTGAGAAGGGGGGGAAGAGAGAAAAAAACAAACAAACAACAAAAAAAACTCCTGGGTCACCTGCATGGAGAAAACAAACAAAAAAACAAACAGAGGAGACAGCAAACAACAAAGAGCAACATAATAATAGAAAAAAAAAGCACCATCACAATAAACTAGCTAGTCATAGATATCAATAGTTACTAAATAATAGACGATATTGTTCAGCACGCAAGATAGACAGCGCACAGTGTGCTTTGAGGCAGCAGCCAAGAAAGCTTTAGTCCGCGTCTGTGAATACCCATGTGTAACACCTGTGTGCATACCTGTGTGGATCAGCATGCTTGCATTCCAAAGATTTCTCCATGTAATGATCTGCTAGGGAGTGTGGGGAGCCACAGCCCTGTCCTCTATGGTATCAAGCGGGTATGGAGGAGATCAAAACTCCAGACATCCAGAGGCCCCCAGAACACAAGAGACCAAGGAAGACCCACAGAGGGGCAGCCGCGCCACTGTCCCAGTAAGAGCTAAGGAGAGTCCCAGATGAGGGCTCATTCAGCAGCCGCGGAGCAGAAGCCAGGGGGAGTTGCAGTGATGCGCCCGTGAGCTCCGCCGGCAGCCAGCTGTGCCTGAGTGACCGAGCCCCAGGCTGAGAGGCCGGGGGCACCTCACCTCCGAAATGGCCCGAGCGAGCCCCAATAAGCGGCCGCCAAGGAGTGAGCCGGTGTGTACCTGGACGCCCACCCCAGATACAAAGAACCACCAACGCACCGACACCTGAGGGAGTCCGCCACCGGCAGGGGAAGTGGTGGTGGGTGGAGATAGGCCTCCAAACCTTGGAAGGCCCGAGATGTCCCCAGAGAGGTGGCGTCTGATACCCAACCTGACATATAAATACAAACATACAGGCGCACACAGACACAAACATCCATTCCCACCCTCATGCTCTCATGTGCACTTCACACTCAACCGACGTGGAGACAAATATAAAGAGACACTGTATACGCGATCACACTCCCCAAGCGTACTCTACAAACCGGGTCTAGGTACCCCTGCCCCTGGAGGGGGAACTGCACCCAGACCCAGGTGGTGTTACCCTTTTCCCTGCGGTGGGGGGAGGCAGACCGCCCCGACTCCGCAGCAGCAGGGAGGCCCCACACTCCAGACCGCAGCCGGACGGCCAACTCCTCCTAGCCCCCCCGCTCCAGCAGGCCGCAGAGAACGGGGGTGAGAGAAGACTCCAAACCTCCCTCCACCCGCTCATAGTAGTGTTGACGCATGTGTGTTCTAAGGTGCAATTAAAACCCAGGAGGGCATAGAGCTACCTGCCAGAGAGCAGCAGGTAAGCGCATAGTCCCTCCTGTTAGCCCTCAATGTCTATATGTATTTAAAATTGAGAGGTGGGCAACGATGCCAGGGGTGGGGTGTACACCCTGATGGTAACTTGGACTCCGTGTATTGTGCCCACCCCCAAGATCCTATATGTATGTGTAATGAGGGTGTGAGTAATGTGAATGTCTAAGTTGTGGGATAAAATTGAGGCAGAGGCAGCCAGAAGGGGACAGAGGGGGGGGTAGCCTCCTCTGCATCCTGGTGACATACCCCTACTCCAAGGCCCTGCATGTGTGGGTGGTTGTGGTGGAGCGGGAGGAGGGAGGCAGTTGGAGATGGGGAGGGAAGGAAGGGAGGGGCAGTGACCCCTCCCTGGGGCCAGCTCCCCCGCTGACCCCAGTAGGCACTCCCACACTCCGCGACCCGCCAGGGAAAGGGGGCCCAGGCCCATCCAGACCGGGGCCCAGTGCAGCAGCGCCCCCCGGCCCCACAGAGCCCGGGACAGTCCACCCAACCCCACCACAGAGAAAACTGATGTTGTCTAACCTAACGTTCATCATGGACAGCACCTCCCACTGTCACGGTCCTGGGTCGGTGAGCCAGTGTTTTGAGTTTTGTACTTTTGTTTTCTTAGGATGATTGTGGTTTGGGTTTCAGTTTGTACTTCTAGCTCCTCTGTTCTCCTCGGTTTGAGAGTTCTACTGCTTAGGTTTGGGTCCCTGTACCCCCATGTTCTGTGTAGTTTACTTCTGTCCTCCTGTTTGCCTTCTCGTTCCCCAGTCAGTAGTGTCTCATGTTGCTCTTGTCCCTGTACTCAGTGTTCCCTCTGTTCAGTGTCTAGTCTGGGTCTCTGTGTCTGTCGTGTACTTCCTGTTTTACTTTGACAGTCTCTCGTCAGTGTACGTCATGTTGTGTTTGCTCTTTCCTTGTCTCATTGTTACTATTAGTGTCAGCTGTGTTCCCTGTGTGCTCCTACGTCCCTCGTTAGCTTTCTGTGTATTTATGTCGGAGTCTCCCTTGGATCTGTGTCGCGTCGTCACTCATGGTTGTGTGGAATTCTCCGAGTGTTCAGCTGACTAGTTTTTCCCAGTTGAGTTTTGTATTGTTTATTTGCCCTTTCTGTAAACAAAGCCATTTTTTGAGTTACGTCTTGTTTCTGTGAGTCTGCATCTGGGTCCTCTCCTGCCAGCACACAGCCGCTCCTTGACACCCACCCCCTGCATGGGACTGTAGGAGCACTGTTACACTCACAGCGTAGGAAGGAGCGCTACTGTAGGTCATTCTCAGCAGGTTATCTTACTCATCAGCTTGTTTGTTCACTGTGCATTTCACCATAAACACACACACACACACACACACACACACACACACACACACACACACACACATTCTTGTACAGAAAAAGTGAAAAACTAAAATAATGTAAAAAGAATAATCAAATCACATCAATTGTAATTAATAGTTTACGTTTAATTTTAGTTATTAACTTAATTAACGCACTCCAAGCTAATGCTGATTATGTTCTTATCTTTGGGGGAGAGGTTGGTGGTGAGAGAGGCACTTCCAGCATGAAGATGTGTTCCACCTTCATGGAAACAATCTGAAACGCAGGATTCCTTCATAGATCCCATATCTTCTCAAAGCTACATAATCCACAGGGAAACCCTGGGAGTCTTGAGAAGCTGCGTTTTATTTGCTCGCTATGTAACCCACAAATATGAGTATTTGCACGACCTCCATAAAGGGAACAAGTAGCTTTGAGAAGAACAGACTGTACGCAGTGAAGGAAGCCACCTGGCGGGACAAGATACTGACATCATCCTGGGAGGGCTGCACTCACATCATATAACCACTCACACTGTATAACCACGCTTGCACAACACACTTTCTAACCATATATAGTAATTTGTCTTAGTTAATACAGCAACGAGCTTTATGAATAGTCATGTGTGTAAACAATAAAAACGACCTGCAGGGGGAAGCAAGTTGAAGTGGGTTGGAGATCAACTGCTTCCCTGTCGCGAGTGAAAACTTGAGCTGTGTGTGACCTCGTTCCTGAGTGAGTTTCTGTTTATCCAGCAGTATCAGGGGTAAAACTCTGACAGCGCTCTTCTGGACAGAGATCTCTAATGTTTTCCTGGGATCTGCTGGAGCCACTATGCCACCTGGGTGACGTCCCAGCTGGTATGGCTTCATATTGATGTCTCTCACTCCAAGTTACGGTTGGTTAGCATGGGAGAGGCAGCCTGGGACCCTCATTGGACAGAAACGCCCCGGTCTGGAGTCGACTCCCGTCACGTTCAAAGACATGTAGTGTATATTTATATATGTGTGTGAGTATATACACACACACATAAAAGTGATCAGAGTATCCTGTGTGTGCTCTCATTCACAAAGTTAGGCCTCTCTCTAAAATCATTATTAACGAGTTAACGAGGTTTAAGTGTCACTTTGATGTGAAATCTTTCATGTTCTAAATCCTCATAAAGCCTGATGATAAAACAGTTTCTAATCTGACTTTTTCTCTTTCTTTTCTCCTCAGACAAACAGTTTCCTCCACTGAGCCAGAGAGTGAGTAACGTCACATCAGTCGACTTCACACAGTTCAGCTTTGATTCAGTAGATGAAGACTGAAAATGATCTTCATCTTCAACAGAAATCATACACATGAGATTCAAGCTGCAGCTTTGTCATGTACACATGAGTTTTATACATGATTGGTATAGAAATATTAAACCTTATTTACATTTTAAAAGCAGATTAAATTCAAGTCTTTCTGTTTATCAGTAAAGATGCGAGCAGTTAAAGCTCCCCTCTGTTTGTAAAATCAGGAGACTCACTGCAGTTTTTGTAGCTCAGTCTTTGACAGAGTTACAGTCAGGCAGTAAAACAGAGTCACAAACCTGTTCATGAAAATTAAATCCTTCAAAAAGAGGAAAAAATGAGCCAAGAAATAAAAAACCAATCCAAGCAGGTACCCACCGAGCACCAGATGTTCATGGAGGTTATTTTCTGCTCTACATCTGGTCGACCGGTCATGACCTTAAAAAGACGCAGCTTTGAAGGTCAAAGGTCAAAGGTCATCTTTTCAGGTTTTTAGAAGGAATTGGATTCAAACATGAATTTATTTTTAGCACACTAAAATGTTTCTGTTGATTAAAAATCAAACAGATATTTGAATGGTGCATCGCTGTCATGTGACCTCTGTTTTTACCAGGTGGAAACGATGGAGTCTCTTATTGAGCTGCTTTTGGAGACACTGGCTGATCTGAGAGGCAGCGAGGTCAGAGACTTCATCGAGATCCTGAGAAGAGAAGGTGGCTCAATGAGCTCCATGAGTCTGTCTGAGATGTCACACCTGCAGGACGTGCAGGACGTGCAGGACGTGGTGTTTTTGATGGTGAGGACTTTTGGCCAACAGTCAGTGGAGAAGATCGTGGAGGTCTTAAAGGAGATGGAGAGGACTGATCTGGCTCAGAGGCTGACAGACAGCAGCTCAGAAGCTCAAAGTAAGATAAAGACAAAACATGTTAAAATGATAAAAGTGTTTCTGCTTCAGTTCTGTTATGGATTCAAAAATTGGGGATGGAGACAAGAGGAAAAACCACAAATAACAACACTGGTCCGGGGGTTAGACAACCCTTCAGTCGTCGCACAGATCAGGGGATTATTCTGCCCCGATTTCAAACAACAATCTGTGCATCCTCCGGTGTGTGTATCCTGTGTATCCTCCAGAAAAAGGAACAGGAACGTGTCCCCCTTTTGCCCAAGAGCCTCTCGAACCTCGTTGGTTTGGTGTTCCTGGATTTCCGCCAACCCCTTCATGGTTATCGCTGTGTTTATGGGATCCATCCTTTCAGGTGACTAATCGGAGCCCAAACGCCATGACACTTGGACCCAGTTGGTATCTCAGCCATCACTGTGTCTGTCTCCGCTGCAAAGAATCCTCGTATATCTGTGACCTCGTCTGGTGTCTGTTCCTTTTCTCTGTGAGAGACAGAAAACCAAAACACCTCCCTGCCTAGCCCTACTAATCTAATGTTGTTATCTATATACCTTCCAGTGATTCAGAATTGATGTAGAACACTGAGAATGTCCCAGGGACTTATTCTAATCATATCCTATGTATGTGTAAGCGTGTTTGCATTTAGCCCTCTGCACTCAAGGCATTTCCCTACACTTTATCAATCCGGACCATCACGCCGAACGAAGCTTATGACCTTCAAAAGACCGAGTGCCAACTCATTATAAGCACATTTGCAAGGTGTGTAAGAGAATTATTAGAACCACTCATTTTAACAAACGGCATCAAAAACAAATTAGCCATTCATAAACCCAGCATTTGCCCCCCCCCAAAAAATTCAGTTCATTTCAATGATTAACGCTTAACCCTGCAAAAATGATTTATAAAACCTTTAGGGTCACTATTAGCTTAAATTCACCAAAGTAATTAAAACACAAATGAAGTCATAGAAATGTTCATATAACCCTTGATTAATGTTAATACTCAACTCCCCCCCTGTTTTGACACATTCCCATGTGTCTAAAACCAACGGAGCTAGAAAATTAAAAGGTTAGTGACCTCATATCTTAGAAAGTATGAGACCTTCCCCTATCCAGTGTCATTGCTCCAGTGCTGTCATCCTGTATTAGAGAATGAAATCAATCTAATTGACATGTTAGATCTATTTAACTACTGGCTCTACCCAGAGCCTGCGTCCTTAGAATCACCAAAAAACAAAATCTGCATTAATATGAACTTCACTTCAATATGAACTTGTTGACTACTTTTTGACACAGCAAAGGAATATTTTCTTTTTCTCGAGGACAGGCGCTGACTCCCCCTTATCTCCTGGAGCCAACTGTCCCTCATGGAGACACAATATTGCAGCTACAAGGCTTTGCAGACAGTTAAGTTGATCTGTGGGTAATATTCTAACTCATGTATGTAAAAGTAAATGTATGTCGTTTAATTAACTGCCACTACTCAAAATTTAGCAAAGGATATAACTGAAAAAAGATCACAAAGAATAACATGATATCAGTGTTATGTAAGCGCGTGCGGCCTTCTATGCTCGAAGTCACTCCACTCCATAGATCAGCCAGACATCGCGTTGACTGTAGCTTTTAACCCTTATTAACTTGAGCACAACTCTATAATGAGCAACAAACTGCAATATGTCTAAAAATGATCATGGTTACACCTGCAATGAAAGATCATATGATTATCCTGACACCTGTAAATACAAGGTTAACCTCAGGTTATAACAATCACTGGAACACAAAAGTTAGTACAATGTCAAAAGCTTCAATAAATCATTAATGCAATGCTTGTTATCTGATTCTGATGCAATAATGCTGATGCTAAAATAACAGTAAAACACCCCCTTTTTATCCCTTTTACTTCACATATAACGTACATAAATGTATCTTTTACCAGCCTCTTTTAAATTTTATTTCCCCCCCCATTTTTCCCTCACTGACCACAGCAGGTGAAACTTAGTTTTGAATCAGCCATGAATGCAGCTCACCTGATTCATCACTGAGCCCCACCGTCACTGGCGTCTGACAGGGTGGCGCTGCATGCTCTTCCTTTAATGTCACTATTTGTAATCTGTTAATTAGAGTGCTTAAACATGAAGTAGACTACATCCACAACAAGTCAATACAGCTGTAAATGTGGCCAATTATCAATCTATTACCAATCAAAAATGAAAAATAGCTTTTATTGTATGCATGCTTTTAGTCAACCACTCACCCAGAGGATTTCCAATCCAGAAATTTCCTTCTCTTCATTTAATGAGTCTGTCCTCCTTCCATACCCTGGTAACTGGTCCATCCAGAGCCATATGATCATGAAATATACTTACAACAAGCTAAACCACACCTTGGTCACACCAACCTTTTTCCGCCCTAAAGATGCTCAACGCCATCTTAGTCTGGACTGTCAAAGGTGACTTTAACGCTGACTGTTCCGACAATCCATTTCATAACATTACCTGGTCAGATTTGCCAACCTCTGCACCAGGGTTTTAATAGTTTTGCAATTTTCATTAGTTGTCATTTAGTTTCGACCTCAGATTTTCAATTTTATATCCGTTTCTAATTAGTTTTTACCAATTGTTCGCTAGTTTAGTTTAGTTTTTATTATTTGAAAATCCTTAGTTTCAGTCTAGTTTATGATTAGTGTCAGTTATAGTTTCAGTTTAGGTTTGGTTGTGTTTGCGATAATTAAGTGTAACAAAATCCCAGTTTCATCATATCAGTCATGCTCTTCTGCTTATCCTCGGGTATTGAGACTATTAACTCTTACGGCACCGGGTGTTCCTAATTTTGGTTCAAGTGAATTGATAAACTTTGTGAAGGCAATTGACTCCCACAGTTATGTAGATGTCCCCGTCCTGTTGTCTCGGGATGCATCACACTGCCTTGCCTGGGGTTAGCTTCTGTTTCTGGGGATGAGGGTTGAGTGGAGGGGAGTGTACTCCCTTACCTTTTCAAGGTAAGCTAGGTTAGCCTCCTTGTGTGAGCTTTTCAAGTGCACTTTAAGGTTTGTGGGATTTTTCCGTTTTATAAATGTCCCTCATAATTTGTCTCTTTCCACTACAAGACACTTGCTTTATCCGAAACACAGTCATATTCTAAGTAATCCCAAATTCGACTCTGGTGCTTTCTCCCGACTTTCCCTGACATGATTCTGCACAAGGACGGAGCAGCAACCAGTGTCGCCAACTCCTCAGTAAGGAAAATCGCTATTGGTTGCGCTAAAAATCGCTAGAAGTCGACAAAAGTCGCCGAATGACGCCATCGCCTAGTTTTGCATAATTGGTCATGCTAACCTCATTGTAACCCAAATTGTTGGAGAGAGAAATAATATCGTGGAAGTGACATAAAGTGGGTAAAAAAAAATATCCTAACTGCATTTAGAGTCTATTTAGAACTACAAGTTAAATTTGTTTTGCCATTATTGTTTGTTGTTTTTTGACACAATTTCAACCTTGCTCCTTCACCTGGGCTTGGACCGGCAAAAGTGATCCGAAATAGGCACTCCTGTGGAGTTACTTCGTGTGTGTGGGTTTATAACTAATTTTAAACCTTGTGATCCATAAAACAGCATAAGAGTAAAACGGTAAAACAAGAACTGACTGCGTTATAGCCCCGCTGCTTGTTGAGAGTAAAAGTGATACGCGCTATCGCGTCTTTTGTTAAGGGGTCTGAAGACTTACTAAATATAGCGACAAAGTCGCTAAGTTGGCACCACTGGCAGCCGCACAGATGACTCCATAAACGTACCGCCACCTGCTGGCATAATGAGACAGCAAGGAAAAATCTGGAAACTAAATTTCATTTTCATTCTTGACTATTGTAGGGCACACACATCAATGAAAACTAAACACCTCTGCTATAAGTTCAGTTAATTTTAGTTAGTTTTGTGTCACGGTCTGCAGAGACAGGCCGTGCGGTGGTGTGTGTAATGGACCCAGGTGCGTACACAAGTGAGTAGACGGGAGTGAACTTAACAGAAAGCGAGCCTTTATTATGGCTGAAGACAAAGTGTACAAACAAAGCAGGGATAGCGTGACTAGACTATAACTAAACTGGGAAAACTAATACTGTGACAAACTAAGAAAACTCTATGAGTCTATGATGGTCACTGCAAAGACTGACCGTGAAAACATGGAGGGTCAGAACAGAGACGACGCGACACAGACTGTATGAAACACAGAGACTAAATACACATGAGGGATGATCAGGGGAAGTGGCCACACATGGGAGCACAGCTGACACACATGAACCTAATGACAGGAGAGGAGGAGTGAAACTGAATACACTGACAGTGAACACAGACTTTCAAAGTAAAACAGGAAACATGGAGATTAGACATGACAAGAACTAAACATAACCACGCAGACATGACGCATGAACCGGGGAGACTTAGTACAGGGGGAGATGACATAAACAACTAAGGAACAAAACTAAACTGCAATCTAGAAATTAACTAGGTGAACTAAGCTAGATGCAAATGAATACAGAAGATACATGGAACTCAAATACTGGGTCGCTTGACCCAGGACCATGACAATTTTGTGAACACTCATTACAGTTTTAGTTAGTTTTCCTTTTTTGTTTTTATTTTTATTTCCGTTAATGAAATGTTTTCTCACTTCTAGTTGTCGTTATTTTCGTTAGTTTTCGTTGATGATAATAACCTTGCCCTGTACACTGGAATAAACATAATCAACATTATCAACATTTTACTGCGTGTTATTTCATCATCTTATCGATTCAAATGCTCCATTTGCATGTGATTTGGCACATTACATTTACCTAGAACTCCACTCTGTCTCTAAAGGTTTGAAGACTTTTCCATGCTTGGGGTCAACTTTTGAGAATTTGGAGCAGGAATAAGTAAAAGTTATGGTGTTATCACACCCTTTTGGGGCTTACCTTTCCCAGTTTTGAGTCCAATTCCTCCCTATTCTTTGCAAGTACCCCCTGTTGGTGGCGA